CAAAAAAATTGTTTGGTGGATAAATTTTTTGAAAGTCTTTTAAATATTAACATAATTTAACTTGACAAATATATCATTAATAAACCATGAATAATAGCAAAAAGTTGAATTGGGATGTACAAAGACATAAAAGAAAATAAAATAAAAACCATAATTGAAGTGATGGAGTAAAATTGCCGATGATGCAACAACTATTAATTGGCATAGTGAAAATCCATGTATACAAATTTAACCCAATCTATATGCTTAGAAGTTGTTTTTTTCCCTTGATTGCATGATAGAAGTTGAAAGAGATGGAAAAAGAAAAGGAAAGAAAAATAAAATAAAAGAGAGATGGCTATATATATATATAAATATATATATATATATATTGAGAAAATTATAATTGTGTGCATGTATATATATATATTGAGAAAATTTTATATATATATATATATATATATATATATATATTTGAGAAAAAAAAAAAAGTTATTTAGAATTTTGCGTAGGGTTGAATTTTGGATGGGAGTTAATAAATATTGGAACTCTTCAGACTTTGAAATCAAATTGGAGTCAATAATAACTTTTCTTGCAACTCCACAATCTCTTGTTCTTCCTTTGTTGAATCGCTTCTTAACAATATTTTTTTCAATTTGGATTTTGATCAACATTATTTATTTATTCATTTTAATTTTTTGGATAGAGAACAAACGAAGAAGATGATACAGAAAGGGAAAGATAAAAGTTTGCAGAAATAGAAATAGATTAAATAATGGACAATATGAAAATTTTATATGTATTACTTAAAAAAGCATGTAGATTGCGGAAAGTTGATTAGAAAGTATGTTTTATTAGCTTTGGTCAATTGGGTTTCTAAACCATTTAGATTTTTTAAAAGTTGGTTTTTATAAATTTTACCATACGCTTTTTATTATTGGCAAAAAACTTTCTGGGCTTAGAAGCCCGTTTCTAGGCTACAAGAAATAATTGTATAATTTCCAACAAAATTCATATATGTCCCAAAAATAATAATAATAAAATAAAATAAAATAAAGACAATACAGCATAATTAAGGTGGTTATAATTTGAAATCCATGCACCAGCGGGGAAGAAGGGAATGGGATTGGAAGTGTAAATCCAATCTTGCAAGGCCGTTGGCCTCAAACCAAGAAAAGTACTTATTCGGTCTCCGCAACACTCGTTGAAAGACAACCAATTCTTGCCGGCCTGTTTGGACTTGGGTCGTTTTCATACTTCAACCATTTGGACAAGCTTCGCGACATGGTATCTTTTAATTACTTAGTGAAAGAAAATGAAAAGAGACCGTTGTGATGTTTAGAAAATGAAAAGAGACCGTTGTGATGTTTGTAATCATTTGCTCTAATATGCTCAAATAGGTGACAAATTAATCCCAATTCAAAGTTTGTCATCAATTTTTTTTTTCATAGTTAATTTGAATAAAAGTAATCCTAAACTACCCCCGCACATAACTCCCCCGCTAAAAGTAGAGAGTGGGAAGTCTCAAGTCATCCATTAGGCGTAGTTCCCAATTCCTCGAGTTCCAAGAAATTTCACGGCAATCTCGGTTGCTCTCTTTTCCTTGCCTTCCTGCTCTTCCTTCCTCTCCTAGATGGTGTGTTCCAGATGAGGGATTTCTCAAATTGAACTTCGATACCGCCTTTGATTCATCTAGAAAATCTTGTGGTGGGGGGTTGATTTTGCGCAACCATTTTGGGCAGCCTATTAAAGTTTCCTCTCTCTTCTTTTCAAATGTTGGAGGCCCCTCCGGAAGGTTTAATTCTCCGAGAAAGCTTGTCTCTAATCCGTCTTTGGGGATATCATTATGTCATTGTGGAAGGGGATTGTCAACCTATTATGCGTCTCCAAGCTAACGTTGAGGTTTTGTGTGTTCTTTTTGATGATGTCCGTTCTCTTCTTCCTTTATGCTCTGGTTCTTCTTTGGCTTGGGTGCCTCGCCAAGGAAATGTTGTAGCTCACTTGTTGAGCAAATCGGCTCTTGTAGCTGAATGTTCTGATTTCGAGTGGAGCGTCTGACCCCAGCGGCTATTAGACGCTCTTTGCTCCGACTGTATCTTTCCTCCTGTTTGAATGATATAGTGTTTGTTTGGAAAAAAAAAATGGATCGATGACTTAAATAGAGATGACATATTCAACTCTCAGGCAATGCTAGCATTAAACGGTTGTTTAATTAATCAGACACCAAAGCTAAGCATAATCAAACACCATGACCAAGCTAATGCCTCTCGACTCCTTCAGATTACGAACACCATCATCTCTTGTGTTCATCACATTGCTGCATATGATCACTTACACGACATCATGCTCCATGATGGTTTGATATGTTAGTGGTTTGAGAAATAAAACAAAATAATAATGTAAAGCATTAGTAAGTGACCAGACCACCTTGTGATCAATCAAATTGTGTGTTGATATTGTAGTTTATAAATGTAATCTGATACTGAAAAGAACATGTGAAAAGGCATTGTAATCAAGTGTAGGAAGCCTACTGTTTTGCTTCTTATTTTTTCCGTATCATATTTCTGCAATTGCCGTTTCTCTTCACATAAGTCATACAAACAATATAGCGTATTGAGGCACAACAACTCTCCCTTATTATAATTTTTCAAAAAAAGAAAAACTTATCATTATTATATTTATTCTCTTTCTTTTCTCCTCTCCATCTTTTCATATCTCTGTCACTATATTTTCTCCACCCTTTACACCTACACCCTCTACACCCTCTAACCATGCCCATCTCCACCTCTTACACCTCCACCCTCTAACAATGGCCATCACATCTCCCCTCTCAACCTCCTACCACCACCTCCCTCTCCACCAACCACCATATTTATAAATGCAAATACCTTGGTAAAATCTAATTTGAATAAGAACCAATATATTCATACAAACACACTCAGTGAATCAAAACATATATATATATATATATATATATATATATATATATATGTTTTGATTCACTGAGTGTGTTTGTATGAATATATTGGTTCTTATTCAAATTATATATATGAAATCACACATTATTCTTCTCAGTTAAAAATCCTTAATTTTTTTTTCAATTAGTTTTTATCATGTTGATTTATTTTGATAGCTGATTAATAGTCCAAAAACAAAATAGCCTATTTAAAGGAATAGACAAATACTATTTTAATTAGTTTTAAGTGACTGTCAACTATGCCTTTAACGTCAACGTTTTAAGGTACATGATAGTAGGATAAGTCCTGTAATTTCCACCATAGGAGGGGATCCGATCCGGATCCGTAAGCAAGACTGGTGTGTAGACAGATAGATACAGACATTAAGATAAGGGGGGTTGCCTTCAATGCCAACTTCGAGAGTGATGCAGAAGTAAATTTCTTTCACTTTTAATTGCAAAACGCAAATTCGATATACCAAATTCACCGCTTAATAGCAATGGGGAATCACAAAATAGTTTAAGAATCTAAGAATATTTTCTACATATCATTTTGACTATTATAATAATCACGTATTGACTCATACTCACACTTCAAAAAATGGAGTATAATTTCGCCCTTTTTTTTTGTATTCACATTTAAATTATGAACCTCTATTTTAGAAAGATGATACTAGTACGCGTTTTATTTTTTGTGCTTTTATTTTTGTCAGGTACTGGAGTACTGTTCAATGGAAAAAAAACATATTTGATAAAATATGCTCTACAACAACACATTTCAAGGTGAAATCCCTCCTCAACTTGGTCAACTGTTCAGGTTGCAGAGATTATACCTCAACAACAACAGCTTCGAAGGAGAAATCCCAGGTAACCTGTCACAAGAAACTACCACAAGAACTTGGTTCACTGTCCAAGCTCAAACAACTTATCATTCATGTGAACACTAATTTAATGGGAGAGATCCCTTCTTCCATTGCCAATCTTACTTCTCTCATTCTCTGGAAACTCTCTCTGCCCTTCAAAATCACTTCACGAGAAGTTTTCGAGGTGCTTTGGGTCAATTGAAACAACTAAGATAAATTGGTTTATGTCGCAATAAATTCTCTGGTATGATACCTACTTTTATGTATAATCTATCCTTGTTTACTATTCTCTCTTTGTGTGATAATCAACTTCAAGGTAATCTTCCACCGAGCTTTGGTTTGATGCTACCTCATCTCCAACTCTTTCAATTGTGAGGTAACCAATTGTCCAACAGTCCACCTGTTCGAATCTAGATTGGCTTGAACTAGAGGGCAATAATTTCAACGGGAAAATAGCAGTTGATTTTGGAGGCCTCAAGAATCTCTGGCGATTCAATCTAGAAAATAAAAGTTTTGGAGGTGGAGAACCTGATGAACTAAACTTCATTGGTTCCATTACCAACTGTAGCAATTTGGAAGTATTAGGTATAGGATATATAACCAATTAAGAGGGATGTTACCAAATTCTGTGGGCAATCTAACTAGACAACTCCTTGAGCTATTGGTTGGTGGGAATTTTACACATGGAACCCTCCCTTCAGCTATATGTAACCTTGTCAACCTAAATTCCTTAAACCTAGACAATAGCTAATTCACAGGTACAATTCCAGCTAATATTGGTAATCTTCAAAAATTAAAACAATTCGATCTTAGAACAAACAAATTCTTTAGAGAAATTCCATATTCTATTGGAAACTTGTCATTGTTGATCAAGCTTTACATGGGAGATAACAGACTAGAGGGGAATATTCCCGAGTCTTGGAAACTGCAAAAATTTGTAACCTGGACCTTTCTCAAAACAAACCTTGGTGGAGCCATACCCAAACAACTTTTGAGAATTTCAGGTTTATCAATTTTGCTAAATCTAGCTCGGAACCATTTGTCTGGGCCCTACCATCAGATGTTTTTTTTTTTTGGATAAGTACCATCAGATGTTGGAAACCTAAAAAATTTAGTGGAATTGGACATATCTGATAACGAGTTTGTCTGGTGAAATACCAAACAGCCTTGATAGTTTTACCAGCCTCCAAAATCTATACATGATGGGGAACTTCTTTAATGGATCTATATCTTTGTCCTTGAGTTCCTTAAGAGGTCTCCTAGACCTTGATCTTTCCCGTAACAATTTGACCGGACAAATTCCTTCATTCTTTGATCAATTTTCCATGAAGAATCTTAATTTATCCTTCAATGATTTCGAGGGTGAGGTACCAATGGGAGGAGTTTTCGCAAACGCTAGCCTTATCTCAGTTGTTGGGAATTATAGGCTTTGTCGGGGTATACCTGCTCTTCAACTTACCCAAATGCAGTGTCAAAGAATCAAAGACATGGAAAAGGTCTCTTGCTTTCATATTAGTGGTCTCAATAGCAAGCACACTTTTGGCTGTCATCATGTTGTCTTCTTTCTTGTTTTGTTGGCTTAAAAAGACGAGAAATGCTCAACCTTCCAGATCACTGTTGAAAGAATCTTTAGTGCAAGTGTCTTATGATAGACTCCTCAAAGCAACCGATCGGTTTTCTTCAGAAAATTTGGTTGGTGTGGGAAGTTATGGATCTGTCTATAAAGGAATTCTTAACCAAGATGATGCAATTGTTGCAATCGAAGTATTAAACCTTCAACATCGAGGAGCTTCCAAGAGTTTCAGCGCCGAGTGTGAAGCAATGAGAAATATTCGACATCGAAATTTCATCACAAATTATGATCTAAAACCAAGCATCATCCTAATTGACGGTGACATGGTTGCTCATGTCGGAGATTTTGGGCTGGCAAGGTTTCTTCAAGAATCCGAAATTCAAAACCAAAGCAGTACAGTTGGAGTAAGGGGAACTGTTGGCTGTACTGCTGCAGGTAATCACTGTACATTACTATTGTTATTTTTTTTTATCTATATTTGTTTCCTCTAGGATAACAATAAATTTGCTTCAGTAAATACGCTACAAGTTCTCTATGAGTTGTGATGTAACATAGACCTGGAAAAGAAGATAATACAATATGGAATTGTTAATTGGTTCCTAGTTCATTAAGGCATAGAATTTCTGATCATTAGAATTTAGTCACTTTTCAGCCCATAATTTCAAATAAAAATGAGCATTCTCATTTTCTTATGTGCTTCCCACCTTTGTTAATTTTTCTGATCTTTATTTCTTATTTTTTTATGATCATCGATCATGCTTGATTCAATTGCCAAAATAAAAGAACCATGCTTGGTTTTGCTCTTTTGAGGAATTTTAACTTCTGTGGATGGCAGAGTATGGCTTGGGATGCGAGGTGTCAACAAAAGGGGATGTATATAGTTATGGAATCTTGGTGTTGGAGATGATGACTGGAAAGAAACCTGTTGACAGTGTGTTCAAGGAAGGCCTTGACCTTCATACCTTTGCTAGGATGGCTTTGCCAGACCATGTTATGGAGATAGTAGACCCAACGCTTTTAGAGGAGTGTTTGATTTCCATGATCAGAATTGGAGTTGCCTGCTCCATGGAATCACCACATAATCAAATGGACATAACTTATGTCATTCATGAGCTGAATTCAGTCAAGAACATTCTTCAAGGCATTCGAAGAGGTCCAAAGGCATAATAGTAAGAGTCAAAAAATCAAACTTACATGCCTGTTATTATTGGTTGAACTCCTCAGTATCCAGAAAATGACAACTCGTCCAGGGGCCCTTTTTTCTCCTAAGTACATCATGATTGTAGTAATGGGAAAACTTGGTCTCCATTTCTAAGGTGTGTTGAATTTTGAGCAAGCCTTGTCCATGACCAATCGTTATTCAATTAATATGACTTCTATAACTTGAAAACACAATTCCATGTTTTAAGTGCATATAGATATATTTATTAAGAATCACAGGTAATTAGTATTATAGTTTCCTTGATAATTCTCTCTTCTCTTTTGATTCTTCACACAGCTTACAGGGTCATGAAGTTTGAAAGCGGTGGTCTGAAGAAACAGCCATAACTCATGTTTGAGAAGCAAGGCAACAATGCCAGTTATTGCAGTACAAAGCAGTCATGGGTACTGGATTCATATGTATGTATATGATTACATATATCTTTTATACACATAAAATGTTAAATACCCATAACATATAGACGTCGTTTCTTGTATTGTGTATCTTTTATACGAGTACATGGTATTACAAACATATAGACATAGTGTGGGTATCTAAATAAAAGAGGTTGGATAAAGTTCACAAACAAATAAATCATATCACCAACGGGCCAGTGGCATAACAGTATCAGCCTCTTACTTTTCAAAGGGGGGTCAGGGGTTCAAGTCTCAGAAAAGACAAGTTTGTGTGAGCACCAACTAAGAATAAATAAATAATAAAATATCATATCTAAGAATAGCAAGCAATTGGGCAGTATTGGGACAGGACTCTTTCCCATCTCCGTCACCGTTTAGTATAGCATCCTTCATTCCTGTCCAAAACTGTTTAGCAAATCCTAATATATACATGCACAATATCTAATGTGATCACAAGCCTTGTGAGCAAGGAGAAGCCTTTTTATATTACCCACCTCGACACCACATTACCACTACATAGCCACCCCTATAGATGCAATGCAGTCCCTGTTGAAGATACAACAGTGCTGCCTCCTCTCTTTCCTCCTCTGCTCACATGTCCACAAATGACTTCTATGTCAACCCAATAGCCTCAAAGGAAAAAGTCCTGTATATGTTCGACAACTTCTCCAAAAATTTTAAATGTGGAACATATATATATGCGTATATTAAGTCGAGAAATAGATAGTTGCTATTTAAATACTCTGACTAATGTCTTTTAACACCTCCATCGATCTCACCTCTTAATCATAATTACAAAACAGCTTTTACCATGACCCAGAGACCGAATTTACACCAAATTGAGAAGAGCTCTGGCAAATTAAGAATTATAGAAAGACCAATTTTCACATAGACCAATACCTAATGTTTAGACCTCAAGAAGTCTTTCATAACCTTTCACTGTCCTTTCTACAATTTGGAGTTCTTTGGGTTTGCGCCTTGCAGTCAAGTCATTGACCCGAAAATGGAGCATAATAACCCTAATAACTTTTTCCTGATTTGAAATTCTTTCTACCTTGTTTCAAAGTACAAAAAGCCGACTTTTTTTGGCATGCAAATTGCTACTCCGCTAGGTACAATACATCAAATTAGATGACTGTTCGAGTGAAGGGATTTTTAATTTAAAATAACTCTTAGGTGTTAGACTGGAACTTTCCTCCACAGATCGTGATCCATTTAACTGCTTAGATCTCTTAATTTTGCAATATTTTTAGGGTTTTAGTTCAATTCATTATGGTCACTTTTCGCGTCTTCAAACACAACTCTGTTTTGGAAACCACAGCCTAACTGCATCAAGCTTCTCACAACTGAGATCATTGCCCGCCAGAAATGGTTTTATCAGCCTTAAACCAGAACACCCAATAATTTAATCATCAGCACAATCTTTGTGGACAAGCCTCGGCCTCAATAGTCAACATAGGGCATCACCGTCATCATCCTTGCCTTAATCCCATAAACATAGGTGAAATGCTATAACCAATAATGTACGTAACCAGTAACCTAACTGTTATGTTCAACAATTTACTTAAAGAAGTGTTCCACCTTTCATCAGTGCTAGCAAACTGCTATTTTCTAAATGAAAAGAAGCACCAGAAGAGAATCGAGAAGAAGAGGAAGAAAGATGAGTATGTTTATCGTACGATAATCTTCCTAATCAAATCCTTTTCTTTGAGCCTTTGACAATATGCTGCTAGGGGTCTCTACATCAAATTCCTAAGTTATCTCCAACTTTCTGATGATAACTTGAGTTTAAAGGAGAGTGGAAAGTTAGCATTGGATTGTCAGCTCTTACTGTAATATGGAACTAAAATACATCTAGAATGATCTGGGCTGCCTATCAAGGCTCTCCTGGCTAAAATAAAGCCAACACTGGCCATCCTGTCCTGCACAACTTCGAAGATGAGAGACACTAGAGTATCTCTATCAACTAGTTTCCTGATATTGAACAATCAAATATCGCATTTCTCCAGATTGAGCCATTTTTATGTCCACTACAGGTCTCTACACCAGAAAAAATATATATATATATATACATATATATGTTTGAAACGGGGTATCAGCTACTCTAAAACTCAGCTAACATTCAGAAATGATATATTAGAGCTACCATTAACAGGCAGTAACTAAAGAATAGATTCATTTAGCCAACCCACGTAGTTGGAAATATGCACTTCCTATAATACAAACTCCATCGCAAATCACCCAACATCAAAATACTTTTTTACTACTCAAAATTAACTTTTTCATTTCTAAAAGACGTGCATATGATAACAGAGATAAACCCTTAACTCCCTAAAAACTTGTGAAAAAAGTTTCAAAGTGCTTTTGCCAACAAAAATGTCCCAGCTTTCTCTGTTTTCCAATGATTTTTAACACTAATTTTACCGTTTCTGTGGACCTTATCCATCCTTAACCATTTTCATCCTTTCACACCATTTCTAGTCATTTGGAAGTAGACCCCTAATAGTCCCAAGTTCGTAACCCCAAATTTTGTACGTTTTCCGAATAGAGTTGATTTTTACGACGAACTAATTCACTAATTAAGATGAAAAAACCCAATGCGCAGATTCACAGGGAAGACATCACGAACAAATTGCAGTAATGATTTGCAAATTGTAACAACAAAAGTAAAATAGAGATCAGAAATTACATTGCCAACCAAATTGAGCTCTCCATAGTTTAAACTAGAACAGAGACTCATCAATGTCGATCTTCACCTCGTCGTCATCAAAACTGTCTTTCTTTGGCGGCGCCGGAGGAACCGAAACCCTGGGAGGGCCTCTCCCCTTATTCTTGTTCCGGGACCTCGCCTATACACACATTTATCATAAAATTTAAAACCCTAATTTCATGTAACATACAAAACCCTAACTATTATCAAAGAAAACTCACATTTCCGAATGAGTGGTTGAAGCGCTTTCCTTTGGCGGCCTTCTTGTCACCTCTGCCACAGTAAACTAATAACCGAGAAATTAAAATTTGAAACAGGAACAAATGCATACATATATGTGTGTATATAGAGAAATACATATATATATATATATTGTGATTTTACATACTTTGTGGAAGCGATGCAGAAGTGGAGAATGAAATTGAAGAAGTTGGGAGAGAGATGCCAACAGAGGATTGAGAGTGAGAGAATGATGGTGAAGGAGAGAGCTTCGGGGTATGTTTGGATAGTAGTATAGACAGGAAAAGAAAAAAATGATAAGTTTGTTTGGAGAAAAGAAAAATATTTACCAAATTATTATCTACTTTTTCATAATCACTTCACACACATTTTCGTATGATGATTTGTGAGGGATATTTTTAGTATTACGAATTAATTACTTATTCCACTATCTTTTCTTTCCTTATCTTCTCAAATTTTCTCAAATTGGGAGAGAAAGTAAATGAAGAATAGGGACAGATCTTTTATTTTCTCTCTCTATCCCTCCAAATCAATCCTACCGAACACACCCTCAGGGAGGCCATTGGTAGTGTTCCGAGTACCAGTGAAGCCATGAGTAACTAATAAAGAGATAAGAAAGATGATTTCTTGACCATTTGCTACTAAATACATGTTCTCCATCGAAATGCAGCGTCTTAAATTAAAAATATCAACAAAATAGTACTACGTATATATCAATTTCATTGAGCAAAAGCAATTAAATGGGCTATAGAACTTGAGCCAGAGCCACAGCCAGAGCCCGATATATGGGCTTATAAATAGTGGACCTGGGCTTGAACTCATTCTTAAGAGTACCCATCATGATGAAGAGTTGGGATCCTCTGTGTTGTGTGTGAGCTGGGATCTGTCCGATGTTGTAATTCAAAGTTGGGATCCTCTATGTTGTGTGTGAGTTGGGATCCGTCCGACGTTATAATTCATAGTTGGAATTCTTTGTGTTGTGTGTGAGTTAGGATTTGTCCGATGTTGTGATGTAGTGTGGTTCAAGAACGGAACATTTTGAAGAATACCCCAATTTCAAAGATTACTAAATAAAAGACACAAGTTGGTTTCAGACACTTTATACGGTGATAAGGAGGGAGTTATTAAATAAACTTAAGAACTTCATAGCCACATCATTATTGCTTGAATGATGCATTTCTAGGCTATGAATTGTGGGATGCTTTCTAAATGGTATACATGCATAATAAATTATTATCCACAAAATTTAATTTTAGTCCACAATCTAATGGGTTCCAACATAAAATCCAACTCCACTTGAATTATATCTTGGCCCAGTTTTTTCGTCCTAATTATGATAATGACTGAGACATTTTTCTTTTTCCTTTTTCCTTTTTCTACTTTTTTCTTCTATTTTTTTCTTTTTTTTTTTTTTTTTTTTTTTTTTTGATAGGTTCTAGACTTCTAGTCAAGAAATAAAGTTCCTAGTTTCGGTAAACAATTTTATTAACACACGTGCTCCATTGTGACTTGAACTCTCTGTCTTCCATTGAAAATGCAGAGGACATTTACATACCACTCAGAGCAAGACTTCAGCAATCATCATGAAATAAAGTTAGAATATAATCACAACAAAAATCCATCCCACCCATAAATAGGCCAGCTTGAATTCGGCCCAGCCCTGGTCCGTGCAGTTTTGTCACAAGTGCACAAAATAAGGAAAGAGCGCTTTAAACAGCTACAGAGAGTAATCTTAATTCTCTAGTCATCCATCACCTTAATTAGCAGATAACATAGAAATGAGATATACCAACTCATTAAGACTATTTCTTTAAACAGCTTTCAACTTGTATAATCAAAAACATTCTAAACATCTAATTAATCACCCTTGTGTATATACTGCATACATAATCATAGCAGAACACAACATATGAATTCAAGAAAAATCATGAACCAGAAAGTTATTGGTGTCATTTATTGAGAGCTGACTTGGCGTGTTGACAAGTTAATACGATGCTAACTAAATCCCCCGTGGCGATTTGAAAGGTCAAAAGCCTCGAAGGGCCAACCTTCGAGTACCTTAAACCCTGGCATCGCTCCAGGCCCATTAAGTCTCAAAGGAACAAACTTCGAGCACCTTAAGCCCTGGCATCGCTCTAGGCCCATCAAGCCTCGAAGGACTAACCTTTGAGCACCTTAAGCCCTGGCACCGCTCTAGGCCCATCAAGCCTCGAAGGACCAAACTTCGAGCACCTTAAGCCCTGGCATCGCTCCAGGCCCATCAAGCCTCGAAGGACCAAACTTCGAGTGCCTTAAGCCCTGGCATTGCTCCAGGCCTATCAAGCCTCGAAGGACCAAACTTCGAGTGCCTTAAGCCCTTGCATCACTCTAGGCCCATCAAGCCTTGAAGGACTAACCTTCGAGCACCTTAAGCCCTGGCACCGCTTTAGGCCCATCAAGCCTCGAAGGACCAAACTTCGAGCACCCTAAGCCCTCGCACCACTCCAGGCCCATCAAGCCTCGAAGGAACAAACTTCGAGCACCTTAAGCCCTGGCGTCGCTCCAGGCCTATCAAGCCTCGAAAGAACAAACTTCGAGCGCCTTAAGCCTTGGCGTCGCTCCAGGACCATCAAGCCTCGAAGGAATAAACTTCGAGCGCCTTAAGCCCTGGCGTCGCTCCAGGCCCATCAAGCCTTGAAGGAACAAATTTTGAGCACCCTAAGCCTTGGCATCGCTCCAAGCCTATCAAGCCTCGAAGGACTAAACTTCGAGCACCCTAAGCCGTGGTATCACTCTAGGCCCATCTAGCCTCGAGGAGCCAACCCTCGAGCACCTCAAACATTAGTGATATGCCAGGCTATATCAATTTAAGGGATTGGAGTCCTAGAAGGCTCGCCATCAAAAATTTGCTTGTAACACAAAACGAAGGTAGGGTCTTCGCGGCTATAAGGGATTTATATTGGGAAACTTAGGAGGATCTTGGATTGGTGAATGAGAAGTCAAGAGGTGCCTTCGCCCTTGGCAAGGCCCCATTAACAAGATGATAGGATTATACATGTTATGATAGCAAACCTTAAAATCACATTTAATGCTACGCCAGGCTTGAATAACTGGCGGCCAAGCAACATTTAATGCCCTTGATTAAGGGAAAAATGACATGGCAAGATAGTGTAAGGCTCGATGAAAGGATTAGACTCTTCAGACTCCTAAACTTTCAGGATTACCCACGTAATCCTGACTAGGAGCAATGCATGCAAGAAACCATACATGGAAGGGACCAGTAGGTAACAACCAATGGAATTTGGGCCTATAAATAGCACTATCCCATGAGAAAATAAAAAACCGGAAAAGGGAAAGCTATCATAAGATACTGTATACTTGCCCTACCACCATCTTAATCTTAATAATTGGTCTTCTTCTCCTCCTCCTACACTGAGTATCTCCTATTTTTCCTTCACATTTGTATTTCTGATATCGCCATTATATACTTATTTATTATTTGATAAAAAAAGAATCCCTACATTTTGGCGACTCCGCTGGGGATATCAATACAAGCAGATAGAATCACAGGATATATTGACTCATCATTCAGAACCCTCTGTTTGGGGGGGGGGGGGGGGGGGGTGGTGACGTTCATATCTAGTCTCAGGCACCGTCGCACGCTTTCAACGCTCGTGCACCTCATATCATACTGCTGGAGAGTTCAGCAACCCTTTTCGTCCATGAAGAGTTGTTGTAGTCCAATCGTGACCTCAATGATCATCTTGACATATTAGAAGCTCTGATCATGGAGAGTGCACGGGCCAGAACTGCTTCTCCTGCCAGAATAACCCTACCCGAACACGACCAGCTAGGCAGTTCATCCACTCGTGTGCTACCACTATGGTATCTGCTGACGCAGGCTCAGGCAGCCCCAAAGCCTACCTAGTTCAAGTTGCTCCTCCAGCCAACCCTTCTCCAGAGTACGTCACTGAATCCATGTTGCGGGATTTCTTCATGAAGCATGCCCCATCTATTGCACGCGCATTGGTATTACGCACCGAGCCGCCGTACCCAAAAAGTCTCGCTCAGACTCTATACCCGCAAGGGTACATCATTCCAAAGTTCCCCAAGTATGATGGTGTGAAGGGAGATGCTGATGAACACTTGCAGAGATTCGTAGAGTCTCTAGGCTAGCATAGCCACAACGAGGTCCTGCGCCTTCAAGAATTCTCTAAGTCTCTTACAGGGCTCGCCTATAGATGGTTTAGGAGCCTTGAACCTAACTCGATCACCTACAGAACCCTAAGGCGAATCTTTCAGCAACGACTCGAGGGTGGTGATCTCGAGTTGACCGCGCCGAAGGATGTACGATGCAATCCCTATCCTCACCGTCACGATATGGCCATGGTCATATATTATGATGAGTTTAAAGAAACTAATCCCATGTAGTCAAAGACTCAGGCACAACACAGTGAAGAAGAATGCTGCGCAGCAGCTTCGTCGAGTCATCACACCTCCCAGCAAGCCCCTTTGACTATTTCCTTCTCCAAATCTAATAAGAGAGTGTTTACTCCTCAGAATCGTCCCCTCTATGTCACTGCGCAGGTCAATGGTAGGGAGTTCCGATGCGTTTTTCAAGATAATGGATCTTCCATTAACATTATGCCATAGGCAACTTTTCAGAAAGCCGGTTTGCCCCAGGATCGCCTTATCAAGGAGACCATTGAAGTATATGGTTTTGGCAATGAATCCCACCAGACCCTTGGCTATGTAAATGTCAATCTAGCAGTGGGCAGATTCCGCGCTCCCACCAAGTTCCATGTCATTAAGGCCGACACCTCCTACCATGTGCTCCTCGGGTGGGCAAGGATGCACCGTTTTAGCATAGTGGCTTCAACCTATCACTAATGTTTCAAAGGCATTTTGGGCAACAAAGTCATCACGATCCCATACTCAGATAAGCCTTTTGCCAAACACGAGGCCTATTTTACTAAAGCCCTCTTCTTTGATGATTTGGATGATGAGGATGAAGAAGGCAAGGCGCATATCATTCGTACTCCGCTGCCCAAGAGGTACAACAAGGCATTTTCTATGCCCCACAACCATATGTCCCCCGCCGCAGCATAGAGGGCACTACCCCTCAGGAATGCAAGCGGATCCGACTACCGGATGGGCAATATATCTACCGTTTATGACGGTGTGTGGGCTCAGCTTCGGCTAGCCCAGTTGTCGAATCCGCATCTGTAGAAGAGGAGTCACTGCAACTTCCAGAGCTTGAAGAAATCAATCTCGCCTCCACTGGGCAAGAGCCGCAGACCACTTTCATCTCCTCGCAACTAGCCCATCGTTCCGAGACGATCTCATTTGTCTTTTAAAAGAATTTTCAGACATCTTCGCTTGGACTTATAATGAGATACCAGGGTTAGACCCCCAGCTTGTGACAGATCATCTCAGCACCGTGTCGGGCTTGCACCTTGTCAAGCAAGCACCTCGAGTTTATCGTCCGGAGCTCGAGCTTCAGATCAAGGCCGAAATTAAAAACATGTTTCTCGCAGGTTTCATTAGACCAATTCTGCACCCCACTTGGCTGGCAAATATTATTCCTGTGAAGAAGAAAAATGGGCAAATCAGCATCTGTGTTGATTTTCGTGATCTCAACAGGGCATACCCAAAAGCTGATTTCCTTCTCCTTATCATTGACACGCTGGTTGATGCAACGGCCGGGCATTCACTTTTTTCCTTCATGGATGGTTACAGTGGCTATAATCAGAAACGGATGGCCGAAGAGGATGCTCACAAAACTGCATTTCGAACACCACTTGGTAATTTTCATTACACTGTCATGCCCTTCAGGTTGAAAAATGCCGGTACCATATA